TGTCTTTGCCATCTTACTTAGCAGACGGCCAGGACTTGATAGATTGAAAATTATTAGGATCCACGTGAAGGGCCAAATGGCATGGGGGACAGGAGAAGTAATGGGCAGCACATATGTGAACACAGGCACATGCCGTCTGATGGGGTCTCACTGCTTCCTTTTCATTTCACTTCAAGCAAGAATCAACGCAAGCCCTCCTGTAGAGCCTCCAGATAAATACATCTCTAGAGATTGTTGATAGCTTGGCTACTAACTTGATAATTGCCTAGATCTTTATGGTGGGCTATTAATTGCAAAGAACATGTTACGAAGTTTAGATTTCGTGAGCATTTATATGAAGCTGGCCTTTAGTCCAAACCTACGTTTCATGGTTTTCCGTATTGTCAGTGTTTCTATATGCTTTGGTTATATCTAAAGACAACTGAAAAGCTTTAATTCAGAGCCCTCTGTTGAGTTTGCGTGCCATCCTTTTGAAGATGACTAATGCCACGAAAGCTGCTCTGAAGTGGAAGTGCCAGGAGCTAAGTTTTGAAATGAGAGCAGAAACTCTGCAGGGAAAGGGGGTGTCTGTTTCTTCTGGTCCATTTTAAGCTCATTTGTGCAATTGCTACCTTCTCGGTATTACTGCGTAACTCCTTTGATCTTAAAGTGGAAGGAAGCAAATTTTAAGAGCCAGGAACACTCCTCGTGTGGCTTTAAAAGGAAAGCATATTATAAAATTGAGTGGGTGTCAAATAAAACATACATTTGGATCTTTCGAAATTTGAACTCAGGGAGGTATTACTGTCAGAGCCAAGCACGTTGACAAACTCAGGGATAAATTGCATTTGTTTGTCATTCATATGAATTTGAGTGTTTGGGTCGACTTGTTACCCAGTGTTATTTGTCCTTTATTGGATGTGGCATTTGTTCTCAGCATTATACTCTTAAGTGTTAAACATTGAATCCTCATAACAACATTATGAGACTGTATCCCCATTTCACAGACAAGGACACTGAAGCTCAAAGCATCCATACCTGACTCAGAATTCTGTATTTTCCCCATCCATTGGCCTCCTCCATCCTAGATGGAGAATAAAATGTAAACACGGGTCGCTAATATAGCTCTCTTCACTGTTGTCATATTTAAAAGCTGCCAGAATTGCTTAGCTTATACCCATGAACTTTTTTTAAGTGGCAAATTGATTGAAACAGTGAGTGAAAGGAATTATTTCAGTTAGGGATTATGCCTTACTGGAACAAATCCACTTATTAGCATGCTCTTTGAATTCCCCACCCTGAGTTTTGAAACCAAGACATAGACCAGAGAATGAGCTCAGTATTATTAGTAAGTTACTCTGATCAGCCAATTATCTTCATTTTCTCTCCATTTCTCCTCATTCATCTTCTCAACCCCCACCATATTAACCACCGATGAAGGCTATGAGAGCTGAATGGATGTTGTAGAAGGCTTTTCATTGTGCAGTGGTTTAGAATCTGGGGTCAGGTTCTTGAGCTCAGATGAGTTGTGAGGTCTGAGTATCAGACACAGAGAAGCTGTATCAGACATGACCAAAAATTGAACCTGGACTAGGCTGACTGGTTGTTTTCCTTTTGCATAGCCTGCAAATGTTATCAGTGTGTGTCAGCCGTGGAAGGTTAGAAACACTTTCCTTGAGCCTTCATATGATCAGATAAGACTGAATGCATTCAAAAAGTTCCTGTCCTCATCTTCTTTGTGCTGCTGTCACCGAATACCACACTGGTTAATTTATAATGAACAGAAATTTATTTGGCTAATGGTTCTGGAGACTGGGAAGTCCAAGAGAATGGCCGTGACATCCGGCAAGGCCTTCTTGCTGCATTATAACCATGGCAGAGCATATCACATGAACAAGAGAGGGAATGCGAGAGAGCAAGAGGGGGCTGCAAGGGGGCCAAACTCACTTTTATAACAAATTCCCCCTAGCAATAATGATGATAATCTATTCATGAGAGCAGAACCAGAGCCCGCATGACCTAGTCACCTCTTCAGGCCCATTTCTCCACACTGTTGATTGGCAATTCAGTTCCCAACACATGAAATATGGGAATGTATTCAAATCATAGTGGTCCTCCGACTACAAAATCTTCCCTCTAATTCAGGATCCAAATCAGACTATCCGAGAAATGTTGCCATGGTACAGAAGGGATAACACTGTTTTGGAGGAGCACATGAATTGATCAGCTGGCCAGCAAATGCTGTGTCTTGTAATGTGGAATTTTACTAGAAAACCTTTAAGACAAACCATAGCAAGGTATATTGGTTTAAAAAAATATTGGTATCATAGCCTGTTTCCTATTCTTTATATTTGCATACAGCCATAGAAACTCTAATGGCTAAATTTTGCTTTGTACCAAATGATTCCAATTAGTTAAAACAATTCATATTATGGGTCAGTAGGTTGGCTGATCAGTTCTTTTGGGTATGGCCAGTTCAGCTCATCTCTGTAGACTGCAGATGGTTCCGCTGAGGATGGATGGTCTCAAATGGACTCACTCACCTGTCTGGTAGTTGGCAGGATGGTGATTCTAGAAGAAGGTTACCTAGGACCTACCTATGTCTACTCCTTGTAATCTCTCATCCTTTAATAGGCTAACTTGGGATTCTTCACTTGATGTTTATATTCCAAAGAAGCCAGATATTTTATGAACTTGTGTCTGCATCATATTCACTAAATTTTCATTAGCTAAAGCAAGACACTTGGACAAACCAGTTTCAAAGAATGGAGTAACTGAGAAACACTTTTCACGGAGGAGGGCAAAGTCCAGTTGTAAAGGTGCATGTAACAGGGATAGAAGGAATGTGTGACCATTCTGTCATCCTCAGCAGATACTAGAGTAACTAACTACAGGTAGGTAAGCTGGCATCTCCACCAGACTGAATCAAAGGGAACATCTTTTTGTCTATAGCTTCAATTCGATGTGGAAGCATTCTCTGGGATCCTTATTTTATTCTTCTATTCTGGGCTCTCAAAAGCTGGCTACATTTACCTGGTTTAGATTCTCTTCCTTGCATTCCTAAGCTATGATTCCATTTTTGACCAGGTTTTAAAATTTTTGATCATTTACTTGCTATGGGAACAAATACGATCGTTTCTTCCGATGCAATTTTGATTTGGTGTATTCTGTGCATGGTTACCTTCCAAAATGTTTCATGCTTCAGTCCCTGGCTTGAACTTCTCAGGCAGTTTGCAGGCACACTTATGCCAACTCCCAGGATTCTACCTTTATGATCTGATACACTGGGTTCCTAGTCACTGATTTTTCTTTCCTTTTTTTTTTTTTTTGGTATGTCTAGTGTTTGCAATGTAGTAGCAAATTCCACATCATTTTATTAGTCTAGTCTATAAACAGAATCCTGTTTTTAATAACACTTTTATTCTGAATCTAGGCTCTAGACATTAAGTCTTAATCACTGTTAACTCATAGAGCATCTAACAAGGGCTTCTCACCCTCAAGCTCTGTGCCATGGACATCTTAGGCCAGATAAGATGTTGTAGAGAACTATTCTGAGCATTACAGAACGTTTAGCAGCAGCTCTGGCCTCTATCTCGATGTCAGTAAGTCAGTAGCCCCTTCTCTTTTCATCCTTCTGCCACTGCTACGTGACAACCAAAAATGTCTCCAAACATGGTCACATGTCTACTCAGTGGGGCAATATCTCCCCCATTTGAGAACCACTGCTCTCACCTGGAGATGCTGAGGCTTAGGAGAGATGGAAAAGCGTGGCGTGTGGTTTATTTTCATTGAGGACACACTAGGAACAGCAATCCAACAGGGAAAATTCGTTTAGGAGTAGACAGGAATGTGGAAAATTTTCAGTCACCGTAAAATTCATTCTAGGGGTGGCTCTTGATTCTTCTGAATTAACTTGAAAGCATCAAATTGGATTGTGCTGCACAGTGAAAGGTTCATCAATATCTCAGCTTCATTATGTGACAAGTGGATTAGATGTAAATACTATCCATGGGGAAGGTGGGGGGAAGCAGGAGCTGTGCTGGCCATAGATATTAGATTTTTGAAAAACTCTTTATTGTGGAAAAACTTAAATATACATAAAAGTAATGAAAATTGTATAACGACCCATCCTATACCCATCACCCAAGGTCATAAATGATTGATTCAGGCTGATCCTGTGACTTGAATCAATGTGTACCCCACTCACTCCCCCTGCTGTTCACTCTTGGATTATTTTGAAACAAATTCAAGATGTCACTTCATTTCATTTGTAAGTATCGCTGTATGTGTAAAAGAAAGTACTTGAATGCCAAAATTGTAATATGTTGCTAGAATTTTAATCTTCTACAATGAGCAAGAATGAGGAGTTCTGCTGAGTAGTATCAGAAAGTTAAGGGAAAGAAGAGGTGGGAGGAAGACTGAAAAGGCTCCACTTTTGGGAGGATTAAAAACCCCAGGAGGAAGTGAAGGTGGGAAACACTGCCTCTTCAAGCTTCTCTCCCTTCCTCTTTTGCTTTGCCTAGCTGTTAGGAATGCCCCCTGGAATATGTGATTTTTCGCAGGGGACAGAGATCCTTACAAAGGAGAATAGGTTGGCAGGAAACAGAGTCATTTTCTAAAAAGGAAGGAAAAACACAATCGCCAGAAGATATTGAAATATTCAATCAATGATAGATTGCTCTCTTATGACCTTCAATGACTTTTTAGCCGATTGGGCCTCGTTTTAATAAAACAAGGCAAGAAGAAAATCTTGCAGTTGCTTTTTAAGATTTTCTAGGACTATAGTATTTCTCTCCTGTTATAAAGTATTCTGAGAAGTTTCTTTCTTTTGATTTAGACTTCCTCACTTGATTTTATGATGTCATAAATCTCCTGCATTTGGTGAGAGCCATGGTGTATGTGAGACCTAGGCAGCTTGCTAGATAACATCTATTCTTCCCCTTCTCTTTAGAAGATTAAACTGAGACCGTTGTGCCTGATGCCAGAATGAATTTAACCAATCATGTTTCCTTTACATGTAGGTCAGTCCGAGGGACAATTCTGCACTGGATCCTATTATCCATGGGTTGAAGGGCGTCGTACATCATGGTAAGTATGCCACATACACTTCCTTTTGCTGGGATGTGAAGGGCTCAGATCTCTGCCTAAAGAAATCGGGTTATCTTGCAGAGGACAGAGGGTGACACCCATTCCTCATTCCCTGATGTTGAAGGGCATTAGAGCCATTATTTGATGGGTAAAGAGCACACCCATTTATTACCTGCAAATGGGTCTGGGTTAACAGTAAGCAATTTGTTTCTCTTCAGGTACCAGTTTGAATGCATATGCTATAAATCAGAACACACTAAGATGTACTATTTTTATGTGTTGAACTTGCCATTTGTTTCATATCTCTCCTAAAAATACTCTTCTTTCAGTTGTCTTTTCACCTGCAAATGTTGGGTTTGCATCTCAGATCTGGGAAGGCATTTTAAGTAGCCAGACAAGTTATTAAACTTTGCAGCATGTGAGCAAGCGTCATGCAGCTACTAGAATGGAAAAGGCCAGGCTGCTGTTCTGTGCTGCAGACCTCTTATCCTCAGGCATAAAACCAGGAGAGAAAGTAAGATAAATGGGTTCTGTCTTTCCCAACTGGTTTTTATTGGAAGAATTTCCCTGCAACTTTATTATCAGCACTGCATCATTACCTGTGACATCAAGATCCGCTAATTTCAAAAGTACCCTTGTCGCAGTGAGGTGTGCAGTCTAGATGTAATGATTTGCAAAGTTTTAATAATCTAATTAGAATTCCAGAGACATTGACAGCAGTAGCATTAGTCACCATAATAAATCTCCCCTTTGTCTCCACAGCGTGATAAAACGTCCTCACACCTTTTGGTGAGGATTGTCTTTAGACATTAACCAACTCCGTAGAGCTTAACAAACATCTTCTACTTCCCTTCCACCTCTCTTTCAGTGAAATGAAAACCAGTTGTCAGGGGCCAGTTAGAGCAAGTAGGATTTTGGATTAATTGTTCCATTCTCAAAACTGGACAGTCATGCAGCAGGTAACAATAATAAACCTACTGAAAGTAGTAAAATAGGGTTACTGAAAACGCCACGTAGAGGTTTTCATTTTAAAATATTTCCATTGCTTCTTCCCAATTCTCAATTTCTGGAAAAGCACTGATTCCATTCTTGAGGGCTCTTACCTCCCAAAGACGCCACCTCATGTCATAAACTTGGGGATTAGGATTTCAACATAAGAATTTGGTTAGGGGACACAAACCTGCAGACCACAGCAGAGGCCATTACATATGAAAAAAAACTGTATCTGGCTCTGGGATTGCAGAGGCAGATACAGTTTGCAAAGGTGTAAAGGTGGGTTGCAAAGATGCCCAGGGTGTGGTTTCAACCCTACTCTCTAACTGGGAAATCGGACGAGACTTGGAAACTACGCTGACCTACAAAGGAAGTTCACTTATTTATTCAGCAGACATATATTGCATGCCCACGCCGTGCAAACCCAGATTTGGAACACTGTTTAAGAAAGACACAGGCCAGCTCTCATGGACGGAGACGGGAAGTGTGCCTTCCTCTCCCGCCGGCCTGCCCTGTATGCAGCCCCTCCCAGCTTGTGCATTTGCTTGTTTCCTCTGTCAGGAGAGTTCTTCCTTTGCTTATGCCAAGGGTGCCTCCCTCTTGTGCCTTCAGGTCTCAGCTCATATCTTGCGTCCTTAGAAAGTTGTTTTGTAAGTAGCCTATCAAAATATTCCTCCCACACCACTCCCATCAATCTCTGTTACACCATCCGAGGTTTCTTTCTTCAAAGCACTTGAGTGTATCTGAAATAACTGTGTTTGTGTATTTGCTCATTTGTCAGCTACTTGGGTATCAGTTTCCTGAGGGCAGAAAACCATGTTGGTGTGGCATGCTATATCCGGCAAATAGTAGGTGCTCAGTAAATCTCAGCCAAATGACTGACTCAAGGAAGCAAACTTATTTGTATTGTTTATTTATAAGCGCAAATTTCAAAACAGAAAATGAGATGAAGGGAAGGAGGAACTAAAGTCCATGTGGGTTTTGCTTTGATTGGGAAGAGAAAGGAAAATAGTTTTTTAAAAAAACAAACAAACAAACAAACAAAAAACAACCTTTGTTGGAGGCAAGGTACAGTGGCTCATGCCTGTAATTCCAGCACTTTGGAAGGCTGAGATGAGTGAATCTCTTGAGCTTATGTGTTCAAGACCAGCGTGGGCAACATGGCAAAACCCTATCTCTACCAAAAAAACAAAAAAAAATACGAAAATGAGCCAGGCATGATGGTATATGCCTGTAGTCCCAGCTACTCATGAAGCTGAGATTGGAGGGTCACCTGAGCCCAGGAGGTTGAGACTGTAGTAAACTGTGATCATGCCACTGCACTGTGGCCTGGGTGACAGAGTGAGGCCCTGTCTCAAAAAAGAAAAAAAAAAAGAAAAATTATTGGCACTAGAAGCATTACAGTTGAAAGTCCTGTAAGGGATTTGAATGATCTATTAATTTGAAGGAACATAAATAATCATGTCCTTCACAGTCTCTGGCTTGGGAACAATGATAGAGACATGTAAAGAGAAAAATCAATATAGATTTCTGTTGCAGCTCAGAAATGGCTTTTATTTCTTCAGCTCCAGGAGTCATATTAGAATTTTAATTTTTCATTATTATTTTTTTAAACAAGAAGCATCTTATATGTTCCTTCAGCAGACATGTGAAGGACTAAACTAATCATATCAGCCAACGGTATTTAGCAGTTGGTCATTAGGGTCCTCAGTTAAGCAGATACCAGGGTGGTATTTGACGTGCAAGAGAGATTTTTGGCAGGAGGGGACTGCCTTGGAAGAATCAAATGGAGAAAGACCAGGGATTGGTGGGGAGAACGTTTGGGCCACGCATGGTGCAGGTCTGACACCTCTGAAAGGAGAGTGGTAAGCCAGGAAGGACTGGCTGAAGGCAACTCCGAGGAAATCTCTGCCAAGCTATCAGGGAGCCCCAGAACAAAGACTGCCCCTGAAAGGAGTCCTTTGTTGGGAGGAATGGCCCAGCCCTTGTTCCCCACTATGTGTTGTCATTGACTGGAGCCTCCCAGCAAGCGTAGCCTGATTCTAGACACTGGGCAGATCCTGGAGTTGCAGCTGCTGCAGGCTGTCAGCTCAACAAGCTCCTCACAGCAGCTTGTCTCTGGAAGGGGGATCTCAGGGGTGCATGCTTAAGATTACCACAGAGCTTCCCATCTTGCTTCCAGAAGCATCTTTCTAGTCACACTCCCATAGCACTCAGAGATTCTTAAGAGCAGTCCTGGCTCATTCTTTCCATAGTTATTCAGTGCCTAATCTCAGTACATCATGAAGCTGGGCGTTGAGGACAGGGACCTACCCTGACCGCATTTGCATATGCTTGGGAGAGTTGTACAATTAAGTATGTAATGACGTTAAAATGTGGGGAGCGCTCTCTCTTCCTTTCTTTGCCATCGTGTGTGCTTTACTCCGTCTCCCTCTCGCCCTGTCTTCTCACAAGACTTTCAGGATTAAGCAGTTCCTGACCAAGAAACAAAAGCAAAATCGTCCCATTCCCCAGTGGATTTGGATGAAAACTGGTAATAAAATCAGGTACAACTCTAAAAGGAGACATAGGAGAAGAACGAAGCTGGGTGTTTAAGAAATTACACATGAGATGGCACACAATATTTATGCTGTCTGAAGGCCACAATGATGTTACCAAATCAAACTGAAAATGTCACCACTATCTGGAGAATTTTGAACAGAGTTTCCTCTCTGGATCTGTTATGAAGGTGTTGGTTGGCTCGTTCAGTAATAAATATGTGAGACCTTTCATTTAACAAATTAATGTGGGAAACAGCAGATTTAACTCAAACGTTGATGATTGGAGGTGTCTCAGACAAAATGAACATTAGGACCTAAAGAGTGCATAGAGATTGTCCAGGCAGAATAGGGATGGAAGCAGGACCAGTATAGGTGAAGGTGTCTGTTAGTAACAGAGGGTGTGGTATCTTTGAGGCTTGGAAAATGGTGACTGATAGGGTTTCTCTGTGTCCTCACCTAAATTCCATCTTGAATCCTCACGTGTTGTAGGATGGACCCAGTGAGAGGTAATTGAATTATGGGGGCAGGTATTCCCTGTGCTGTTCTTGTGTTAGTAAATAGGTCTCACAAGATCTGATAATTTTAAAAGGGGGAGTTTCCCTGCACAAGCTCTCTTCTCTTGTCTGCCGCCATGGAAAACATGCCCTCTACCTTCCACCATGATTGTGAGGCCTCCCCAGTCACATAGCACCATGAGTCCATTAAACCTCTTTCTTTTATAAACTGCCCGGTCTCTGATACGTCTTTATCAGCAGCATGAAAACAGACTAATATGGTAAGGGGCTTCTCTAATGCTTTTCTAGGGAGAGATACCCTAGAAACCTCTTGACCACATAAAGTGCTGTGTCTTCTGTGTTCATTTTTCTAGGCAAATTGCAGTTTTTACAAACTCAAGAGCAATGAGGAAATATAAATAGAATGGAGTGAGGTGATTTGCCATTGATCCTAGTCCCATCTATCCCATCTATCTACTCATGGAGTGATACATGGAAGCACTGAAATGTGTCTAATTATGTTTTTTTTTTATTTGGCCAGTTATCAACATCCACTGACAAGGAAAGATGAGGGGAAATTGTAAATCCCATTCACTGTGTTGGCTCAGTCAGCAGCAGCCAATACTTACATACTCTTATATACTCTCTGTATATAAGAACCAGCAGTTGCAAGTGGCCATTTGTGATAAGAATACTGATTCCTAAGAAGTTGGTCTAGTTCTGATGTGTTTAAAATCCATTAAAAAAAATTCTGTTTGTGAATTGGTGTAAAAATGTAGTGTTTCCTTCTAAGTGAGAGGCAAGAGGTCAGGTGAATATAGCGGGCGAGGCAAAACATTACGGCCCATTTTGTTCAAGTTTTGAAGGCTTACGTTGTGCAACGTGTGGTCAGATGTGGTGGAGAAGACTTTTGGGACTTTTCTGTGGACCAGTGCTGGCTGCAGGCATTGCAGTTTTTGGTCAATGTGCTAAG